AAGAATCCAAGTTTCGTCACGCGTAATTACGTTTTGGAAGAAATCAAGATCATTTTCAATGTTTTCAAGAGTGTCAACACAGCAATTCACTCGATGTTGCTTTTGCTGGGGGGGTAAGGATTTTTGGCACCACTTTAGCACACCTTTTTCACCCCCAGATCGGCGTGCAAAATCGGTCTAACACTTTCCTTATTGAGGTTGGTAAGTTCAGAAATTGCTCGAATGCCTGGTCGACGATCTCTTCGAACAATTCTAACGACCTTCTCCACATTCTCTGGAGTTTTCGCAGTGGATTTTGGATCGTTCCCGACGTTTTTCCTACCCTTCATAAACTTCTTAAACCACTCGAAAACTTGCGTGCGAGATAGACACTGATCACCATATACTTCTGTCAACAAATTGTAAGTTTCCGTGGCAGATTTTCCAAGTTTTGTGAGGAATTTGTTGTTAACACGTTGTTCTACATTAGCACTCAGCATTATTCCGACGGAGCTCAGACACACGATCTGCTTCTAACAATGGTCGCGGCCAGACTAAGCAATGCGCGTGAATGAAACTTTGTGTGACGGTAGAGGGAAGACCACGGGTCAATGCCCTACCCTCCTCTTCGTCATCGACGTGGCCGGAAATGAGTCATAAAAGTAATCCGGTTTCTTTATTGCCGCACCTTGTATGCCGAAGCAATAGAGGTTGCAAAGTCGCGCGCCGCTTTATCGGCTTCTACCCCAGACTTAATTTCTATTTTGGGTGATATTAACTCAGAGGTGAAGCTTTGAAACCCCTCCAAATCTGTGAATTTTTCATTAGGTTCCTAATTTTAACATGATCCAGTATGTGGAACACTATTGGTAGGTGATCTGAATCCAAAATATCGGAGACGATGACATCTGACATGCTGATATTTTGGTGGACCACAATATCCAGCACGTCACCATTTCCCGTAGAGGAATAAGGAGTGGGGCACTGTGGTGCTGAGATTTCGAAATCAATCATATCAAATATATCCACGAGTTTCAAGCCTGAGGGGTTTGAAACTCTACTATTCCAAAGTGGGTGCTTAGTATTCAGTTCACCTACCAAAATAGAATTACGTCTACAAGTTTAAGAGCTCCGAAATGTCAGCATCACTCCAGGCCGTGCCTCGGGATTTATAAACAGCTGTAAGCAGTATTTGACCCTTACCAATCTGTATGCAGACCCCTGTCGCTTCTACTGAAGCAAGGGGTGGTAGGTCTACATGGCTATGGGGGATGCTTTTTCTAACTGCAACGGCAGTTCCGCGTTTTCTGCCTGAGTGGCGGTCGGTTCTATAAATGTGGTAATTTGGAAGAAAGAATCTCTCACGAGGTTTCAGATGGGCTCGGAAAACAGGACCACATCTACGCGTAGGTCTTGCAGCTGTTTACTGACCTCATAGCGCTGCCTCCAAATGCCGTTCGCATTAAATGCTACGATTTTACGTGGCCTATGAACTAGTGGCCATTTTATTTCATTTATTTCATGGCCATTATTTTGTCCTCTTCAGACATTTCACCATTGAACTCTGTCATGATCTGCTGTACTAGTCACAACTCTCAAATGTCGGTGGCGAGTACTAAGGGACCCGGACCCGGGAACGACTGAGCTGGCGAGGACCAGCAGCATATGCAACAGATAGACCCGTCCTCTGGTCAGAGAGGGCGCCCACAAAGAAAACAAGACCGTTTCTGTCAAACAGTAATAAAGATCTAGTCATAAGCCCCAGATGGGTGCTTCAGGCTAAGACAGACTGACCGACTGACCGTCAGTCGTAAAATGAGACTTAAACTCATAAGCGCCTAGTGTGAGTCTCGGCAGTACACGTGCTAACTTGACTAAGGTTTCTCTAAGTCCATCCACATAAATGCAAGAACTGCACTTTAGATTAGCCCATGTCGTTTCCTTTCATATTTTTTCCCATTTCACTGTCATCCGTTCATTCGACGCTACATCGTCTCACTTGTCTACAATGTCAAGAAAGGAACTGCAAACAATGAAATAAAACAAGCGCCACCAACTGTTCATATCCTGAATCAAATGTAGTGCACACCCTCATAACAAATATTTAAGAGATCTATCTTAATATTATCCTACTTTCTGCATATAGATTTTTCAGTTTTTCTCTTTTCTCTTCAAGTTTCTTCTGGATCTTAGTATGCATTTCCCTCTCATCTCATGTGTGCTACATACTCCATCGAATTCATCAGCTTTGATTTGACCACCCTAGTACGTAGGTAAGTCAAGTAAGTTACAAATGGATACAGAACTTAAACAAAAATAAGAGAACTGATTTGAAAAAACTTTTATTTCATATAATTATATATATTGCATATATATGTTAATAATGATATTAATGCTTTACCCTTGTTTGAGTTCTGTTCTAGAGACACAACAACAGTGAGGATTACATACACATCGGGCGGAGGCTGAGAGGAACTCATCGTCACTTCAGCCTACCTTTCATATGAACCACCACTTTCCAAAGAAGTGAGGGACATCGCTGACTATTGCCATCTTAGGAAAATGCAGATTATCATTGGGTGTGACCACAATGCTCACCACAGAGTGTGGGGAAGCACTGACATCAACCCAAGAGAAGAACGCCTCATGGAATATTTGGTGAGGTCAAAACTTAATATTCTAAACCAAGGTAACGAGCCTACCTTTGTGGTTTGAAATAGGCAGGAGGTTATTGACCTGACACTCGGGACCAATAAAATGGGAAACCTGATCAGTAATTGGCATGTATCTGATGAGCTGTCCCTATCGGATCACAGATATATATGCTTTCAAATAAGCAGCATTACAGTAGTTCAAGCTACTTATGGGAATCCATAGAGAACCAATTGGGAGTCATACAAAGACGACCTAAAAGTAAATCTGGAGACAATCTCACGAAATATACGCACAATAAAGGATATTGATCGGTCCGTTGACCAGTTGTATGGGCTATTATCTCGTCCTTTAATAGGAATTATCCGGCTAGACCATTCACGAACCAAGGAGAGTGCCTTGGTGGAATAAACACTTGAGTGGGCTTAGAACCAAAACGAGAAGGCTGTTTAATGCAGCTAAAGAACAGGGCAGTGGGGCACCTATAAGGAGCTCTTACCTGTTTCCATAAAGAGATAAGGAAAGCCAAGCCACCCTCATGGAGAAGGCACTGCCAGGAGATCAGTGATGTACCAGGCAGTGCCAGACTCATGAGAATCGTGGCAAAACAGGCGACCAACAAGGTCAGCAAGCTTAAGCTGCCTAACGGGTCGTATACTCAAACAGGAAGGCACTTGCCAAAGCAAGACAAATAGGGTAGACTGGAACCTGGCCAAAATCATAATTAACCAATCAAAATCAGATGGGCACTGAATACACTTAGACCATACAAGTCAGCGGGAACAGATGAAATTGTACCGGCACTTTTACAGCATGGGGCAGAACTCTTAGTTCCACACCTATGCCGCATAATAAGTCTTTTCGTCCTATCAGCCTGTCGTCTTTCCTTTTGAAAAAGATGGAGAAAATAATGGATAGGTGTTTCAGTGACGGGGCGTTGAGGACATATCCTCTACACCGAAACCAGCGTGCCTACCAACCAGGTAAATCTACCAAAAGCGCACTACATAATGTGGTAACACGCATAGAAATTGCGACTGAACACAAGGATATTGCCTTAGGAGCATTCCTTGACATAGAGGGAGCTTTTAATAGAACCTCATTTGATATAATCAAACAGGCCGCTGGAAAGCATGGTATAGAGCCTGCAATATGCAGATGGATCAGTGCTATGCTGGAAAGCAGAACTACAGCTGCCACACTATCAAGAGAGACCCTGGGGACGTCTTCGTCTAGGGGGTGTCCGCAGGGGGGCATGCTCTCGCCTCTGCTGTGGAGCCTGGTCATTGACGATCTCCTGTGGGGACTTAATGATGATGGGTATTATACAGTAGGATATGCTGATGACATAGCAATCCTCATAAACGGAATATTCCTTTCGACAGAATCAGAGCGTCTTCAAACAGCTATGTACACGGTCCAACAATGGTGTGAAAGAACAAGCATTTCCATCAATCCTAATAAGACAGTAATTATATCGTTTACCAAAAAAAGAAATCTGAAGGGCCTTAAGGAACCGACCCTCTTCAATAAGACGATCCAGTTCTCCAGCGATGTCAAGTACCTTGGTCTAGTATTAGACAAGGACTGGCATGGAAAAAGCAGCTGGACAAGGTCATCAATAAAGCCTATAAGGTTTCTTTGACATGCAGAAGCATTTTTGGAAAATTTGGGGACTGCAGCTGCACGTTGCGCATGGAATATTCACTGCGGTTATAAGACCCATAATTACATACGGCTCCACAGTATGGTGGCCCAGAGTTAAACTGAAGAGTAGCAAGGCAGATCTTAGCAAATTGCAAAGGTTGGCTTGCGTGGGTATCACAGGAGCAATTCGAACATCTCCAACAGCTGCACTGGAGACACTCCTTGGACTCCACTCACTGCATAACCAGTTGGAAGCAGAGGCCAGGGCAGGAATGTACAGTCTGCAGTGCAGTGAACAATGGAAACCTAGATCCGATGGTTTCGGCCATGCATACAAAACTCAAAGACATGAAAAAAGAACCCATATTACAAATGGGGTCTGACAAAATGATACTGAGACATGTATATGAAAAACCCTTCACAGTCAGATTTCCCGATAGGAATGAATGGGAAGACGGGTTTCGGCCTGATAGAAAAGGGGGTCTGATCTGGTATACAGATGGTTTCAAGATAAATAAGCTGGTGTGTTCTGCTATGGCATGTGGCGGAAACTTAGTTTCAGCTTTGGGCAGTACACGACAGTATTCCAGGCAGAAGTATATGCCATTAAGTCATGTATTATGGAGATTCTAGATAGGAACTAAAGAAATAGGAACATCTACATTGTATCTGACAGCCAAACTGCACTCAACAGAGTATGTGAAGAGAAGACTTAATAAAATTGTGAGATATTCACCAGACAGTAACGAAGGGAACACAGAAGCTGAAGAATATCCACTATTATATGCCGTTACTAGGATACGACTAATGGAGAGCGTAACAGACTGAGAACACTAGTGTGTGTGTGTGTGTCTGTGGCTCTGTGTGTGTGTGTGTGTGTGTGCGTGCGCGTGCATGTGTGTGTACGTGGAACAGTGAACTGTAAAATTTTGAGATCAGCGATGGCGATGTAATTATTGTAGTCACGAGTCGTGAGTGTATAAATGGTCAACAAATCAAGTCACAAATCCAAACCTCGTCTATAGTCACATATATTACGTGACATTATTATTATTATTATTATTATTATTATCATAAAACTGCCTTATTTTATAGTTTGTATGTTTTTTGTTGTGTATTTGGCCTCTGGGCTGTTAAGCTTGTTATGCTTGCACGTTAATAAACAAGAATTGAATTGAATCATTATCATTATTAGCTATGTTTTATCGTACGTACTGCTTGTTTATATATATAATATTCTCATGATTAAAGTCTCTATGGCTTATTCTTTTCGTTACACGCAGTTTACCTTCTCCCGATAGTCTAATAGTTTTATACACTATCCTAATTAGGCTTGGTATGCTTATCTTGTCTGGAACGTCCTTACTGTGGGAGATTACAAAAGAAAATTAAAATGACTAATGTTTCAAAGTTTTATATGGGATGCAGAAGACTCAATAGAAGCAGACAATCAACTACATGCATGACCAGGCTTGAATTTTCATTTTTCAATATGGGCATCATAAAATATTCTATTCATGTTGTTTGAAAGTTAAGGAACTTCAGTAACTTAGAATTAACCCAGAGATATTCTTACAAATTTCTATGTCTAAACCTTTTTCACTGACATATAACAGAACATTATCAAATTTTGTTATTAAGCATACCAATAATTTTTCTACATCCATTCCTTTTTGTACTTCTTTTCCTAACTACTGACAATGCATCTGAAATTCTATAAATATAACAAGATATTTGAGAACCACATACAAGAAAATTTAATTTTCTGCTGTCACACTACTTTTGGGACGTATGTGGTACAAGGACCTATACCGAAATACACACCTTTAACCTCAATAGATCAAAAAAAGAGCAGTCACTTAGCAAATGACTAAAAGTCATATACTCTGGGGCATAATGCTGAGTAACCCTTTGAAAGCAACCATTGTGTTAGAGGAGTATGTCACCTCCATCTTCAGCGTCAAAGAATAAGCCAAGCAAGAAACCAACATGAAACTGGTTTCTTGCTTGGCATATTCATCAAACTGAAAATGAAGGAAACATATTCCTCCAAATCATCGGTTGAATTACAACAGAATACACTGGAATATATCCCAGAAGATAGACCTCTTTGCAACCACTGCTGTGAAAACCTCAAATCCTATAAACAAAACTTACCTATGTACAATATATTTCAGTCATATTGCAATAGAACGGTACATTAAATGTATCAAATAAATCCTACTTTACATACCAAACCCTCCAGAGACCTTTTGTTTTCTATTTACTGCAACAGAGGCGGCCACGATTGTGACATGAAAGTCTGAAAATGCACTCTAAGGCTGTGTCCACATTAGCAAGCTGAGCTTTGAGCCAAACCCTGTCACGAGCATTAAACACGTCCATAGTTGGCAAACGTAACTGCGAGCCACATGGAAAGTTATAACATATGCTCGTGACTGGGCTTGGTTCGAAGTTTGGCTCGAACCTTGGCTTGCTAATGTGGACACAGCCTACCTTCACAACCACAAGATTTGTGGAGAATGTATACTGGATATAAAATGTGTTGCATCATTTTCTACAACTTTTGCTAAAACATTTTTCTCCCCACTAAAGCCAAATTAAGTAACGAGCAGTTCTGAAATAGGGTTAACATCATGAGAAACAGACTCATTTATATTATAAACAGTATGCAGATCAGCTACACAAACTCTGAAGTAAATAAACAGAACACACACCTTACTGTGGGGAGAGACTGGACAGTATTAAGACTCTGCAAGCCCTAGGCACTATGGCTTTTAAGTTTATGAGCAGAGTGTAAATAACAGATGGTTTTGCAAAAAGCAACCTAGTTTGCTCGACGACTATAACAAAACAGGCATTTTTCACACCTTTTAGTTATGAATGTATTATAGCAAGTACAGCCATTGCTATATAACAGAATAAACAATGGTGTTATGCAACCCGTTTCTAGGGAATGAATCAGTAAACACATTTCCACAGCAGTGAATACACATGCAACAATAGAAGATCCTGTTTCTAAGCAAGGGAGCAGTAAGCATACAATAACAGGGGGTTGTTGGAAATGGTGTTTTCTGTTTGGTCCGTGAAAAATGGTTATAACAAAGAGTTCAGTCGAGTTTTGGAGTTATCCCATGTGCAGGTGGAGTCAAATACCTCCACCATAGTCCTGTGAGTTGTAGGAGGTGGTGAAAAGGGAAGTCTCAAATCTGAGACAGTAAAATATGGTCACCAAGTCCACAGGACTCAAACCTGGTGAAAAGGGAAGTCTCAAATCTGAGACAGTAAAATATGGTCACCAAGTCCACAGGACTCAAACCTGAGAATGAGTGCGCCTGCAAGGGCCAGCAGGAATTGCAAACAACAGGCCCATCCTTTTGTCAAAGCGAGCGCCACACATCAACAAACGCACAACTGACAGTAATAAAAATCTGATCATAACCCCCGATGGGTGCTTTAACAGTATTCCAAGACAAACTGGCCGACTGCCCATCGGCTGTAACATAAGACTTGAGACTCGGTTCCAGAGTTGGCAGTTGCAGCAAAGAATTGAGTCGAGTTCCAGAGTTGACAGAATACTTGAGGAATAATGGTAAAAAATGAATAGACTGTGAAAAGGCGGCTTCATATGTGCTGCAGTGACAGCAGTACTGTTATAAATCTGTTGCCAGCATAAGACTAGTGAAGACTGAGAACCCTAGTGTGAGCGCGCGCGTGTGTGCGTGCGCAACGGTGAACTGTATAGTGTGTAGATCAGCAATAGCACTGTATTACTTGTAATTATGAGCTGAATGTAAATGTGTCAATATATACAATCATCCAATCCAAAACCCATCTGTAAATCATGCTGACCCCCTACACATGACAGCGTCTAAAATAGTGGTAATTTTAATTCTTGTAATAACTGTCATTTCCCCAACATAATGTCATTTAAGTCAAAAACTGAATAAAGAAAAATTGAATTCACACAAGTGACAACAATAAAATTACTGGTTAAAGCTGACAAACTACAGATACTATGAAACTCACAAAGTCTGTTGTCAAAAAAAGACATTCCTTTTGGCATAACAAATGTATTTATTATTTTAGTGGGAACATGACATGGGCAAGAGTAAAGTTCAGCATAGCATTGTAAAATCCACTGTGAAGTTGACATTTTTTGTATTCCCTAGGCACAATGCATATAATGCCTTCACCCAGATGGCTTTGCTAACTAGCTGCATGACAGCAGGAGAGGGAATGGAGAAACCAAGTCGCTTTTGTCCATCTCTACAGGATTACGTTATAGTGTGCTGAAGGCAAGAAACTGGTGCATTCCAAACCATCTGCTGGTAATGTTGGTGCTGCCACTTCACACCCTTTAGTGTCTTGTGGAGGGTGAATAAGCAAAATATTATTGTACAATACAAAAAAACATGGCTGAGCTGGTCAAAAGAATAATCAACATTTTGAAACCCATTCTAGCAAACATACCAATTTGATTCAAGGAAACATGATGAAATTCCTCCTACATACACATACACGGGAACTTGAAACCAATACTATAAAATTTTACTGGTACTCTATCATTGTCACTTTGTTTCAGACAAATTAAGTTTGGAATGATTTACATGCCACTTGAAAACAGACACAGACTTACCAAATGTCAAGAAAATCGCCTGTGAGACTAATCTCTTGTTATTCATTTTACAGCTGCCTTACTTGCATCAGCATTACATTGTCTTGCAGCTTCAGTTCTAAACTAGCAACCTACCCAACACATCAACTGTAATCAGTGTGTTGGTCAACCAATACATTGGCAAACTTGTCAAAAACTGTACATCTGCCACTGCATTGCAAATTTCAACCTCCAGCCTAAAACAGAGCACAACAGTATTAGCAAACATATTTTTGGAGAAGAAAAAGCGCATTTACTGTAACTAAGTTAGCCACATGTAGTACAAATGGGAAGAAATGCTCAACATAACTAAGGAACACAAATGTCAGCCACACAGGTGTATCACACAGACAACAACTTCAATTAAATCAAGATATTTCATCTTTATTGGGCAATTCTTTTAATTACAGCTTACAAAGCAAAAAGAAGCCAATATATAGTAATTATTACGGGCGTGCCGTTGAGTATTGTGGTCGGACAGTCCTTGATATGCATTTCCGACATCGGTGGCGGCAACAGTCACGATAAAACATATATATCATACATTTTATTATAATAACTTCTCTCATACTATGTCATGCCATATGTATTTTTACATCACAATTCATGTGACATTTTCCTATTTCTCTTAATCAATAAAATCTCAGTAAGTATACAACTATGCCTACACTAGCAATAAAAACAAGCCAAGTGATCTGTAGGGGGAAGTGCACTGACAGCAGACAACAGCTTCCTCATTTCTGTATATATAATTTTTCTCTTAAAATTGTCAGCTGCCTTGAACAATTGTGGGGTCAGTGATGTGAACCATGTTCCAGTTCCCAGCACTGTCAGTGGTTGCGGGAACATGGCTCCTCCAGCTGGCAGTCTGTATGCTGGTCCCAGACAATCCCCACTCGCTTCTGTACAGCTCTCAAAATAAACTGCTTTCTTACACCTAGTGAACAATTCATATTGATGTTAACACACAAATCAAGCTAACACGGACAGGGATGGGTGGGTACAACACAGGCTACCTGGTGTCGTCCGCGTCGCATTACATTGAGAAGGCAAAGTGGAATGATGGACACCTCGCAAAAAGTTCAAATGGGGAAACAACCATCAAATTGTTCTAATCGAGACATGTAGACATAAGAAATTCATTCATTTTTGTCTTTTTTACAAAAAGCTACACAAATAACCCTCAAAATTTCATTATTTCAAAAATGCTTATATAAAACGTGTTTGTAATTTCTTTTCTTCATTGTTTTGCACCAGAATGAACTCAAAAGTGTACAGCACCACCACAGCAAGGGGGCAGACAACTTCACTTTGTCTCCTTCTCCTCTTTCTGTTTGTTCTCTTCCACATCCTTCTCCACTTCCTTTTCCTCCTTTTCAGACTGCAAACACAACATAATTTTGGCATCAGTATAGCCACACTTACAATACCATCAGTGTTTCTCTGCTTAGACAATCAAACAATAAAAATGGTGCAAAAACACTACACATTAGTCACATATACAACTGACCTTGAGCATACTACCTTCGAAAAGAAACTGACTCTAGCTCAGCAGACCACACTGTTAGTTACTGAACAACAATGAAATCCATCATACCAGTAAAGCCAATTTTATAAAACTGACAATTCACCTTCATGACACTAATGCAAATACCAGTACTTTTCTGAAGAAACTACATGTCACTATATTTCAGGATTACACAGGAGATGATGAGTAAAATGGAGGAGCGAAGGAAATGGAAGAATGTAAACAATGAAGAAGGCAGGAGGAAATACAGGAGACTGAGGAATGAATTGAAAAGAGCCACAGACAGGGCCAAAAAGGAATATCTTGAGAAGATATGTAATGAGATTATAGAATTTCAAAGGACAGGACGTTATGATTTGATGTACAAGACAAAAGAACTAGGATGGAAAGAGAATCACGTGATTCAAAATATTGGCATCGAAGACTCCCAGGGGAATAGATTAGTAGATCAGAGGGAAGTGCTGAAAATTTGGGAAAATTATATTACAGAACTATACGATTGACCTAATCGGCCAGAAACCTTAGAAGTTGAACCGGAAGAAGAAGTAGATACAGACGAGAAAGGACCATATATTTTACAAAGTGAGGTGGAAAAAGCTATCAAGGAAATGAGGAAGGGAAAGGCTACAGGAGATGATGATGTACCTGGAGATGTGCTTAAGTTACTGGGAGAAGGTGGTTTGAAAACACTGACAAAACTAATGAACACCATATATGAAAGTGGAGAGTGGCCCAAGGACTTTACAGAAGTTACAATGATTGCCTTAAAGAAAAAGACAAAAGCTACAAAATGCAGCGACCATCGCACAATAAGCCTTATTGCACATACAGCAAAGATAATAGCAAAGATACTTAAAAGAAGAATTGAAAGGAAAATAGAGGATGTACTTGGAGAAGATCAGTTTGGATTTAGAAGAGGAAAAGGAACCAGGGATGCAATTGGGATGATGAGAATTATAGCGGAACGAACTTTGGAGATAGATGAAGAACTGTGTGTTTGCTTCATAGACTGGCAGAAGGCATTTGACCGGGTAAACTGGACCAAATTAATGCAGATCCTGAAAGAAACAGGTATCGATTGGCATGAAAGAAGATTGATTAGCAAATTGTACATGGATCAGAAAGTTAGAGTACGACTGGACAGGGGGGAGACAGGAAGTGTGCAGATTGGAAGAGGAGTTCGACAAGGATGCTGTTTATCACCAATTCTGTTCAACTTGTACAGCGAATGCCTTACCAAGGAAGCTCTGGATGGGCTCGGTGACTTCAAAGTAGGAGGGCAAATTATTCAAACTGTGAAATATGCAGATGACCTTGTGTTAATGGCTAAGGAAGAAACTGTGCTACAGGGCATGATTGATAGACTAATTGAAATTGGAAGGTGCTATGGCATGGAAATGAATGTGGAGAAAACAAAAGTAATGAAAATTTCGAGACAACCAACCCCAGTCACAATAAAGATAGACCAAAAACAAGTGGAGAATGTGAAATGTTTTAAATATTTGGGTAGCTTGTTAACAGATGATGGAAGGTGTACTTGTGAAATTAAATCCAGGATTGCCATGGCAAAAGCTGCATTTAGCAAGAAGAAGAATCTTTTTACCAGCAAATTGGACTTAAATTTGAGGAAGAAACTAGTGAAATGCTACATTTGGAGCATAGCTCTGTATGGGGCTGAAACATGGACACTTAGGGCAGTAGATCAGAAACATCTGGAAAGTTTCGAAATGTGGTGTTGGAGAAGAATGGAGAAGATCAGTTGGACCGATTATGTGAGAAATGAAGAAGTGTTAATTAGAGTCAGTGAGCAGAGGAATATCCTACATGAAATAAGAAAACGGAAGGCTAATTGGATTGGTCATGTTTTACGCAGAAACTGCCTTCTAAAAGAAGCTATCGAAGGAAAGATAGATGGGCGGATAGAAGTGACAAGAAGACGAGGAAGAAGACGTAAGAAGATGCTGGATGACCTTGGGGACAGAAGAGGATACTGTCATTTGAAGGAGAAAGCTCTAGATCGCATTAAGTGGAGGAATTGTTTTGGAAGAGACCGTGGACCTGTCGTCTGACAGATTACTGATGATGATGGTCTCCACAAAATATTGAAATTTAATAAAAATTTACCATTATGGCCACTCAGGAAAATAATCATGTTCGGTTTTGAATGTTCAGATTCACAGGGTTACCAACCTAGGAAGTATAAATTCTTGAACAAATATGAATAAAACATAATCATTCAGGTGCTAGCAAGGTGTGTACACATGGACGCATAGACACGCGCAGACAGCATTCAAAAATCCACTTCTTCCTTATTTGGGTGGCTGACAGCATCCATGAAAATCTTAGGACTGATATCTTTTTCTCACCATATCTTCTCATACATAGTAAAGCAAAAACATGCCTCACCTTTTCAATCACCTTTTCAAAGTCCTTTGCCATCTCTTTTTCGATCTCCTTGTCACCTTCTTTCTCTTCCTTCTCCTTCTTTTTCTCCTCCTTGTTCTCTTTCTCCTCTAGGGGTGGTTTGGGCAAATGAGAATTGAGGTCCAGTGTCTTGCAGATGTCCTCCCAGTCAGGGAAACACCTGCAATAATATGCACATTATCAAAGTACAGCCATCCTTGAATACTGAACAATTTGGAGTACTTCAACACTGGGTCACAAACTGCACATCCTCTGTGCCCCACATGTCTTTAATATTACAGCATTCCGTATATAATGCCTCCAATTTTTTTTAAAGAAAACTACAACAGATACAGAAAGCATAATAATGCAGTTAAATAGATCAAGATTTCAGCTACTTAGTTATTTTTCCACATAATCACCACCATTTGTTATGCACTTTTGCCAGCGATGAACAATAGCCTGTATGCTGTGCCTGTAAAAGTCTGCGCCAGCAGAGGCTAGCCACTTCTTACAGCTGCAATGACAGCATCATTGCCTGGAAAGTGTTGCCCACGTAGTCCATCTTTCTTAGGCCCAAAGAGATGGAAGTCTGAAGGTGCTAAACCGAGGCTATAAGGTGGATGTGGTAGGACAGTCCAGCCAAACTTTGCAATGTGCGCGGTGGTCGCCAAACTTGTATGGGGTCTAGTGTTATTGTGTTGCTAGCAAAAGGTTGTCTGCTTCTTTGGCCTGACTCGGGAAATGCGGGCCTTCAGCTTAGTCAGCGTCATTTTGTAGCGTTCAGAATTGACAGTCCCTGGTCGTTATCTACTGATCTGTATGGATGAGGCGCTGTTCATTGTGAGGAGTGACAGCTGAGCAGGGACGCCCAGGGCGTGGCTTATCGTGCACTTCACTTTCGCCTCTGTTGAAACGCACTACCCACCGCCTCACTGTGCTGACTTCCACTGTACTGTCTCCGTACACCTTTAGCAAGTGTCGATGGATGTCAGAGGGTACAATTTGTTTGGCAGTGAGAAATTCAATAACACATCTGTTTCATATGCACTTCTATGTCAGACACCATTTTGGTAGACTGCTCTGCTGTTGCTATCTGTCGCACAACAACCAAACTAACAGTAGATTGGCGGGAAGGTTCAACCTTTACTACAACACCAACAACATCCATCTCAGATGTTACATATTAACACAAAAGAATAGGAGGCATTATTTACAGAACGCCCCTAGTAGTTATATTGTTTTCACAAAACTGAGATTTCTAGTCAACAAATATATTGTGACGTGTCACGCTAGCTGTGTTACCATGGCTTGGCAGTAGTGTAGTTGACAAGTCAGGCTAATCACAGCACAGCTCATATGAAATATACCTACATTACTTACTGCAGTTGGAAATCATGAACAAAATAGTGATGAGGGATTCTATATCTATTTGACTAGTCCTTTTCTGGCTACCATGTTTAGGTGCATTTACATGCCTGCAGAGCATCTACTAAAACTGCTCTCTGTACACATGAAACAACTAAAGAGATATTTTCATGAAATCTGATACCAGGAAGTTCAACTACCATTTATTGATGCATTTCAATTTGTGTTAACATCAGACAACAATAATGGACACTTTACATAATGACCTATATGTGTTTCCATGAAAATCTCACACACAACTCACTAAATATTACTCAAAGCAAAAAATATTTAGGGAAAAAACAGGTAGAGAAAAATGAAATACAAATTTCATCATGCCAATCATGATGGCATTTTTGTGATAATTAAACAAATGGGATTTTTATACAATCTCAAAGGAATAACAGAGTGAATGCACCAGCACTCTGAAGGAATGTGCTGCACGCATCTTCAGGACAGAAGAGGTGACCCAAGCAGGAAATTAGTATGTAATGTGGGGAAACTGATTTTAGACTAAGTATCATCTGATATTTCCAAATTTAATGCCTGTATTTTAATAATGTTGAGCTCTAAACATGAAAGGCTTAGCAAGAAAAGTCGTCCATTACTAAGGTATGGCACGATAAACACCTCTCCGCAGCAATAAACACATGATATCACAACAGTGAATTCTTGGACCAATAAGAGGCAACTTGGTGTTTTCTACTGAGTCAGTACCGAGGCGATATAAGTGGACCAGATTAGCCAGCCAGCCAATGTGAGAGCCAGGGATGGCCAGTGAGTGGACAGTCAAGAATGTGGGTTTGTGCCATGGGTTTGGTGTGAAATAGACACCAGCTGGTAACATGAGTTGAAAAGAATACTGTCGCGATCCGTTACCAGGCTACTGGTGAAGACAATGCACAATGGGAAGACTTGGAGTGTGCCATTGTGAGAAGTTGAGTGTGTGAATTAGCAAGAGCACTGTAATTAAATGTAGTTACAAGTTGCAAGAATTCAATAAATCAAATTACCAATCCAGTCATTAAAAACTGTGACAATACTGTAATGATGTATTCCCACCTTCCTGAAATGTCAGATGAAAACAAAGCATGGAATCACCAGGCAAGATGTGTGTGTTACATACCTCTCTTTCATTCTGTTCACATGTCCCACCAGATTGGGACAGCTCTCCTGCATGTAGTCCCTTAGTGAGTACTGTACCTCCTTGTCAATAAAGTACACCTGTGCCAGGCTAGCAAATGCCACAATGTCCAACTGTAACACAGAAGCAACAATAAGAAGAACCCATCTTCAAGAAAATCCTACATGTATCTATCATCATATCTCTTGGTACTCACTATAGTGGGTTCATCACCAAAAAAGAATGGCTTGTCAGCCAGCATGTCGGACAGAACCTTGAGGTCATTCTGGCCAAACTCTATGATTTCCTCCGGTTTGTGCACACCCATACCTTGTGCTTTTACCTTCTTGGCACCCTGTAAATGATTCAAATGTATATCAGAAATAAGAATGAAGTTACAGTGCAAAAAACTTCATATTCCACCTGCTGCATTGTTCAACACATTATACACAGTAACATGGAAAAGAAACATCTCATGTCAGGCCATGTGAGAATGGCATGTTCATCATTAACCTTCCTTATTTTTCCACAGAAAAGTTCCATGTACGGTGGGGATGATGATATGCATCCTCCCTGTTCCCCTCTAGCCCCCTCTGGCTTAAGTAAACTAACTGAACACCCTTGCTGCCGGTGTAGGTTATCACTGTCAACATTCGTGTAAACACAATGCCTGCTGACTGGAGGAACATATAGGGAAGTATGCAGGTGGAGGGAGCATAACAGCTCAAGGGAGATGTGGTGGCAGTTAATTCATGTGTCTTCTTTCTACATCCTCAGTACAACAACTGCTATTTTCACTGTCAAGCAGCATCATGCGTAGGCAGATCCTGATTGACTGCCTTCTCCACTTGAGCTTACCTTACGGGCAAATGTATACTTGAAGAAGAAATTGAGTATTCCATTGGGGATCCTGGTGCCCAAGGCGTGCTGGAGATTCATCTTATAGCCCTTGATGACATTCTCTGGATACTTGGTCCTCCACCATGCCACCACCCTGCAGACATGGCAGAAGCTACTGGATACACATCTCCACGACAGAAACATCATCTTCGCCTAACACTGCTCAGATGTTGTACTGGTCACCCCTTACTCTTAACACACTGTTCATAAAGCAATTTTCCCTTAACTCTAGAAGTGAAAACTTCTGCCAGAACAATTCTACAAATCCTGCCATTATCTACAAAGTGATTCATTTGAAGGATGCCGTGAACCTGCCATTATCTACAGAGTGATTCATTTGAAGGATGCCATGAAATAATTACTATAAATCATGCAATCATGTAGTGATGAAGATGAGGCTTGATGAGTATATGTATACCTTAGTAGATGTGGAGATATTTGGGACCGGTTTCCCTGGAGACACATGCCTACACATCACTTCCTGTCTGTGAATGCTGTGGCCAGGATGGCTGCAAGCATCACAGACTGAAGGATATGATGCAAACCAAACAGGCAAGCACTAGATAAGTGTTACAGACTCAGAATCAATGGGCTTTTGGACTTTGTCCATCGTTCGATATTCTATAAATTAGAAAAGACGTTTTGGAAACAGGCCCGGTTTCCAAAACGTTGTGTTTTCTATTTTCTGCAATACTGGACAAGGGAAAACATCCAGAAACTCAGTAATTCTGAGTATTACACATCAATATCAGAACTCTTTAGAATCTAGGTGTTACACACTTCAAAGTGCTTCCAAGTTTTGTTTTCACTATGAAAGTATTCAACAGTTTGTAATTATCAATTCAGGGCCTTTGAGAGAATCACTGTGTATGGTACAGTGAATGATATAACCACCTCGTTCCTTTCTTAATTACTCCTTGAAGAATTTTAATTGCAGGCATAACTCCACATTTACTTTCAATTAGACATTGCTTCAATCTCGGATTTGTGGAGATACAACTGTTGTTGTCATCCCCTCATTCAATACTCCCACCTCTCAACCATCTAATCCAGCCAACACCACTACAAGGACAGGTAAGAAACTAAGGCATGCTGAACATTAGTAATGGAAACAACAAATGCTTACAGAAATTTGGCACAGATGCCACTTGAGTGTAAATCCAAAATTCAGAAGAAGTGATCATCCGAAGGTAGATTATTGCTGGTCAGCAGAAAGAACACAGAAGTGTGTAACTTAGCATGAAGATGTACTGCAAGACTTCAGCTAGTTTTAGTTTCATTTTTCTGTCTCATGGGAGGGATCCTCTATTTGTCTGAAAGGCAGATTTTTCGGTTGGCAGATGTAATCAGCATGAGTTGTCTGATGTTACGAGAGAAGGGGTAAACAAGAATTAGCAGATGAACAAATAAGAAGCTTCGGAAATATCAGTCAAATATTGAGAGTTACAGCACTGGTTCTCAATATTCGACTGGGGGCAGCGGTAGTGTAGTTGGTTGAGGGGCTATGCTACAAGCCGTAAGGTCGCGGGTTCATGTCCTGATGGGGTAATTGGAATTTTTTCAGTTGACCTAATCCTTCCAGCCACACTAGGCCCTGGGGTTTACTCAGCCTCTAACAGAAATGAGTACCAGGAATTAATTAAATAATTTTCCTGGGGAGTAAAGTGTGCATAAGGCTGACAACCTTACCGTCATCTTTGAGCTGACTGTCTAGATAATGTGGGACCCTCAACGTCTCACAACCCTATGGGCCTTCACAGCCTCTTACAGGGATAGCTGTTGCCATGTTGCAAAATACTCACCACACCAGATGGTTCTCAATCATGGATATCATTGCATGTGAGACATTCTTTTGGTCATTGTTGAGGCCTGCATCCAAGTCCTTCTCGAACCGCTGACCCAGTTCTTTAAGGATAATAGCACTGTCTGCAATCTCCTCACCATTGAGCTCAACAAAAGGGAGCAGACCCTTTTTTGACCGAAACTTCATCTTGTGGTCCACATTCTGTAAATGAACATTCTATTAAAATTCTCATCCAAGTTTTAGACCCACAGTTTTGAGCTCCTTGTCACAGATCCATCAGGAAAAGTATTATTTTGATAACATAGATCTACAGACTCTCATCTGCAATCTAATGTTCAAAAAGTCCATATCCTGTTTTTTGTAATCTTATAATCAGTACACTAACAGCCAGGTTAGCGCAGTTGGTTTAGCGACTGGCTACTGGCTGGATGACCGAGGGGTCAGAGTTCCAAGTCCTGGCAGGGACAAGAATTTTCTCCTCTCCACATAATCAAGACTGTCTCTGAGGCCCACCCTGCCTCCTATCCAATGAGTACCGGGGGCCCTTTCCCCATGGGTAAAGCTTATCAATCATCTCTGACTAGTGCCGAGGACAAGAAAACATGGATCTATGCATCCACTCCTGCATATGTCTTCATGGTGTATTTTTTTTTTAATTTTTTTATCAATGGTAACGGTATAACTGTCCCCATGCTTAATTATGCACCATTCCACGCACATACATGAAGGGAGTTAACGTATACCTCCACATATGCCTAACCTTGGCACTATATGGAGATAAGTAAATACCTTCATGACTAGCTGATGTTTCCTCCCAAGAAAATGAGTCCCTGGTATCATTTGGATATGTGGGATGCTGGGTGGGCCCCAGAGCCCATCTGGAAACTGCAGAGAACAGACAAATCTCTTCTGCTGGGAATTAAACCCTGATTGTTCACTTCATACCTAATATTCATACAGTAAAGTTGGCTCACATGGGCATGCAGAACACAAGCAAAAATAATGAATAATCAGTGTAGAGTGTCAGCTTGCAAGTTCAAGACATATGGATAGTCATTGTTATACCACAGGAAATTTTTGATGATGTGCGCCTCGGGAAGTCAGCACTCTGAATGAATCCAGCAGCTATGCTGAGTGCAAAGGGTTATAATTCTCCACCCAACCTATAGTAGTATACACAATGGCTTAGCACAAAGGCTGTACCTGAGAGACAAAAGGGGGGAATTAAACTTCACACATGACACTGCATTTTGTTCCACTTCACTGCTTACAGTGGTCAGCTTTTCAAAGTTGGTTACTTAACAAAACTGTAAGTATCAATGGATATGTGAAACAGCTGATGGAATGTTGACTAAGAAGAGAAAGTGAAGTTATCAGTGAATACCCAACTTACAAATCAATGGACTGACCTGGAATCAAACCTGGACTGCTGCAGTGGGAAACCAGTTACTAATGGCCTGGGCTATTATGGCATGTCCTATTTCTGGTCAAAATGACCCAAGTGCCATGATTATTGTGACTAATGTATACAGACACTGTAATGATTACACAAGTTTCTGAGGTTTTCATGGCAGTGAAGATTCATACATCACGCAGGTACCAGTGTTCTGGTGGACTACACTACCTTCAGCTTCACAGTAAAATGTTAGCATTCATCTACCAGACTACAGGGTGTCATAACCCAGAGCACCACAATATAGGTTAGTTCTTGGTGTGAAACAAGCACTTTTTCTTTTCCTACAAATATGGACATAAATTGCAGAGCATTTTACACATGGGAAGTAACAACAAAAATAAGGCACAGCTTAGTCAGTTTCTACACCACAAAATACTGGAGGTACCACAATGGCTGTTTCACTCTGGCCTGCCACTATGTTGAATAACCACCAGCCAAGATATATCTGAACCTGGGAACAATGGGAACAATGATACCTTTGTGAACCTATGATTCACAAAAGTCATTTCTATCTCCACGATGGTATGCTACTGCTCTACTTCCCTTGTATTACTACAAGACTAGTGCCTGTTGGAAAAGTAAAGCACTCCTGTCAAATTGGCCACTTGTTTGAAAACACAAACACATGTATCTTAGCTAGACCCTGAAAATTAACTCCACAATAAACATGGTGTTACTTCTTGAAACATTCAGCCACCAGACCTAAACACCAGCTGCCAACTGAAGACCTAACTCGTCTGTCTATCTATCTATGGCTCTACAATCCTTTTTGTCCAACCTTGGCCGCTTTTAATTTTCTTAATCTTATTCACAGTGGTAGGACTTGGATAGGGCATCAGCCCGTTGCAAGGCCACTACCTTCACGCAGGACAACACAAACATCCATGCCTTGAGTGGGATTCAAACCCATGATCCCAGTATTTGAGCAAGCTAAGACAATTGATACCTTAGACCACGTGGCCACTGTGATCAGCAACCTAACCCATAACAAACCAAAAATGGTGAAAATTATACAGATTAATTTAAAAGCAGTCTATACCTCACACACCACCCATGTATACAGGAAATTAAAAATGTTCCTCTTGGACAGACAAGGCCAAGAAAATTATTAATTCTGTTTTGTGCGTGTTATCATATCCGGGTCATTTCTCTACACATTCTTTCAACCAGACCATCAGACCATGACTGAGTATGTAGTAAGCAGTCATCATGGTACCTCAAATTGCAACATACATTTTTATGCACAGGGATGGGTATTCACAAAGACAGAAAGAAAGATACTGATAAAAAGAAAAAGAAACAAGAGTAAATAATTAAACACAAGATGAATAAAGATAGAAAGAGATGGAACTGATTAAAGCAAAAAGAAAAAAGAAAATGGAAAAAGAATAAACCAACGGAACAGAATGACAGCAGAACCACTCAGTGCATATTCTCACTCCACCAGGTTATTCTCTTGTATAACTGCGGCCTTCAAGAGATTATCAGAGCTATTAACATTAGGTATTTTTGGCAAAGTATATCTTTTAACAGTTTTCTGCTGAAATTTCAAGGGCTTTATGCTAGTGAGTATTAAATGCAGGGGCTCCAATCATGCTTGGGTAAAGGTAAAGTTGTAACTGTGCTTAACTCATCGAGCACTATGGCTATGAAGGTGTCTGGAGGAGTGGATCTACAGATCTATGATTCTTGACCTCGGCACTAGTGGAATGTGAGTGGTCAGCTTCCTGCCCCAGCCACTTCACCCCCAAGGAAAGACCCCCCACCCACCGGTAGCCACTGGATAGGAGGCTGGGTGGGCCTCAGAACAGGTCTGAACGAAATGGAGAGAAGAATCTCGCCCCCAACAGGACTCAAACTCAGATATCTAGGCCGTCCAGCCCACAGCCAGTCACTATACTGGCTGTGCTATCCAGATCATGCTTGGGTACTAGAACAAAAACGTTTGGTACTCGCCACGGATTCTTAATACAAGAGAGATCACAAAGCTGCTAGAGCCTATTCATCTGATAATACCGGTCAGTATATCAGCAGATAGAATGTTTGCACTTTTCTGAAATACATAAATAGTTACATAACAGGGAGGTCACATGTCTATCTGCCTGCCTGCCCATCCAGATGTTCCACCTCTGAAACAAATTACTTGATGAATTTCTATCAGGCCTAATGTTGGAGCATTCAACCAATAAAAACTGCTAAGGTAAACTTTATTTTGATCTGTATAAATACAATATAACCCGATTTACACAAATCCTAAAGCACAATATCAGCTTTTCTAAAAAAATATTGGTGCATGTCACAGAATACTCCTTCCAGTACGTCACAACTTTTTTAAATCACTGTTTGGTTCATCTCTTAGATACAAAAAGTTTCTGTGAAGTGTAATAATGATCCTCAAAAGGGCCGCTGTCCTGCACACTGTTTTCATTGGTCGTGACAGGGCTGTTATTTTCCCAACCCCATCCATGGGTCCGAATGATCTTGCAAAATTGCTTACTTGTAAGACCGCAACCACATTGGCCCTAACAGCACCACTGTCTTCTATCTACACCTACATTACTCAATGAATTCCTCATGCTACACACTCCAACCATTAATATGGAGGCAACGTATTATTATGAAAAGCCAGTACCTGCCTGTAAGACTACATGGGCAGTACATCACAATCCGAGAAATCACTAACACAAAACCCTGAAAACAGAACAGCTTCATTGTGGTAATAGCAGATTTCGGACACTACATTTTTATTATTAATATGCTACGGTATAACACAGCTGCCATCAGCAAGTGATAAATTGTAATCCATGCTGCTGTTGAAAATTTACAAGTATGGTAGATGTGATAACTGAAAGAGACCATTAGGAAGACTAAGACGTAGGTGGGTGGATAATGTAAGACTTAATCAAGGCCTTGCCAGGCAGCAGCTCTGTAAACACAAATACAGGCACTAATAGAAGGGAAACTATGTTTTCTATGCGGTTCAAGCCCAGCAAAAGCACGAGCTATAAGAAGTCTGTTGCCAGGCAAAGCTGTAAACATGCAGTCACAACAAGGGGAGACGGTGTTTTCTGTGGGGTCCATGCAAAGGAGTTATCTTAAAGATGAACAGCACAAGTAAGTTCTGAGTTCTCAGTGGAAGATAGTGACGGAAGGTTCGTCATAAAAGAAGAATAGGAAGTCGGCCTGTGAAGACTTGATGTATGATTAGAAGATTTAGTCACAGTGAGACTGTTTTAATTTTGTTATCAGGAGACGAGTAGTGAAGGCTGAGGATCCTAGTGTGTGTGTAACGGTGAACTATAAATTGTGGAAATCAATAACAGCACTGTATTTAAATGTGATTAAATGAACTTGTAACCAAAGTGCTAATAAATCCAAGCTACAACCCATCAGTTTCATTTCCTACACCACCCTACACACAATAATATTAAAATGGGTCTTAGAGACAGGATGGGATGGTATGAATTGGACTGATCTGGCTCAGGATAGGGACCAGTAGAGGGCTCTTGTGAACACGGTAATGAACCTTCGGGTTCCATAAAATGTTGGGAAGTTCTTGAATAACTGCATAACTGGCAGCTCCTCCGTGAAGTTAGTTTAGTTACTAATAGTTAACTTGGTGAGAATGGGCTGCAACATTATTACTACACGCAGGGATAGAAAAAAAAAAGTTGCCTCTCTTCATCACTCAAGACAAAATTCTACTTGCCAGACATTTCTCCATAAAAGAAACCACCATCACGTCAAGGTATAAAACAGTGTCACTTATATTGG